GAAATGTGTCACCCTTATGGGACAGTCCCAGTACCAAGCACTGAATGTGGTCGATTGTTTCAATTCTTTTACTGGAAAAAACTATACGATTTTTAGAGATTACACTGTGCAAGCTATGGCTCTAAACTACATTACCTTTTTATTATTTTTAGTTTTCATTATGTTACTCGACGGTATGCTATATGTTTCCCTCTTCCAGTAATATTGCATTAGATTTCCAATATTCATGGTGTGTTTTTCCATCTTTCACAGATCAAGACTTCATGGGCTTTTTAGATGAAAAATTATCAATACAACATGAAGCATCAGCAGAAAACCAGTGACACATTGCCAACATGCTCTTGTTCCCGGTGCCAGCATCAATAATTCAAACACTAGCTCATAACTTTATTTTCAATGCATAATTGAGGCCAACCCGTGATGGTTGGTCTTTCTTTATTCAGCCATTTATATGTTGAGCAATTTTTAAACAATAAGAGCAGCAGTCCATTAAGCTTTTAACATCTCCCTTTCATATTCCAGTACACGCTGGAAAGTATGGACAGTGGCCTGTGCTGCTGCTTTACTCTGTGCTTTGTCGTCAGTGCTGTAAGTGGTGGATTGCTTTCAGGTGCTTTTTTTTGTCTGTCGTTGTATCTAGTGAGAGCATGAAAATCTTAAAGTGATAACTGTGGGGAAAAGCTGTGGTGTGGAAATGAAAAAAAGTATAGACTCCACATTTAAAAAGTGTGGTTTGGAAAGGAAGGGGTCTCAGGCTGAGGTGAGAATTTGCACCTGCAGAAGCACTTCCATTTGTGCAGGGCATGGGTGTCTGTGTCTTTCTAGTAATTTACAGCATGCCTAATTCATTTCAAAGCTATTTTCTAGCTTTCTAAGTTGTTTTCACAGCTAAATATTTGCAGTGGAGAATGCAACTTGGAAGGGCACAACCACTACCCTGTGACTCATTATATGACCTGGCTACATTTATTATGTGTTTTGTACTACTGCTTAATAAATATTGATTTACTATTTTAATTACATGTTAATCTCAAAACACATAGGTACCAGGGTTATTACTCTCTCAAGTCATACTGCAAATTTCCTGTTTGCAAATATTTGTTGAGGATGACATCCTGAGAGGGCCATAAAAGTGAATAGCAATCATTAAACAGAGACTAGCTTTCTACAATATCTGCAAAAGTGTCAATATCAGCAGCACAGACTGACCCAGTCTTTAATCAATTGCTTTTACACTTCTTTGTCAAAAGCAATAATTTTCAGGGCATACACGCAAAAGATATAGGTAGAAATCTCAAAAGTCCCTTTCTGTATTTAAATATGGATTTAAGAAAAGAATCTTTAATGTTTATTTCATTTTCTCCTTAACTTAATAAAACCAAATAATCAGGTTTAAATTTCCTGACAAGCTTTTGAACTTTCCAAACAGACAGAATGACCCCAACCAATTTAATGAAAATGAATAATGACTCCAGTATTGTTTTGAGATAAGTGTAGTAAAATGTTAGTACAGTCCCAGAGCAACTCGTGATTGAACTGATATTAAATGAAAGCATGAAGAAAAGACAGATTAAAAGGTCCCTTTTTATTTATTTATTGTATGAATGAAATTATCCTAACCATTTAAAGACTCTTTTTTTTTGACAGATTTGAAGACCTGTTAAAGCAGCTCTTTGAAACTAAGTCCAGGTAATAATTCTCCTAAAGGTTGCAATCTCTTCCGGTTGCTGTTCACAATGATGCAAATCGAATCAAAGGAATTTAAATAACAAGCATTAACTAAGCTGTGTGTGAACTTCTTGCTGTTGTTATACTAAATCATTTTCCAAACAAGAGGGACTTTTTCAGGCCTTCCAAGTTATTGAGTTTTAAAATGGGAGAAAACAATGGGGAAGGTAAAAGCTATTTTTTTCTCTGTACTATAAGGTTTTTTTCCTTCTCTGTTGCACATAAAAAGTGCTTTGCGTGAAACCAGTAAACAGTAGTTCTTTCATAAGCACATGCTTGACATTTGTAGTTCAAAGACAAAATACTTGAAACTCAAACATCAATCAAACAAACTCAGATTATACCCTGGTAAAACAGTTCCCAGGAAGGAAAAGGAATAAATAAAATACAAACATGGAAATAAAAACTCATAGTTCCAACAGTATTCCATGTTCTTATTACTATAATTTATCATTGTATACTATCTGTAAACATATACTGTATATATACTGTCATAGTTTTTTTTTTTTTTGCTTGGCATGAAAACCTGCAGACCCCTTAGGCCCTTTCTGTATATGACTCCTAAAAGGTTATCATACAGCACTGGTTCTTAAACATTTCTAACATGTCCTCTTTCAAATGCCAGAAAAAGCTCAGATCTTAGAGTTTGTATCAATGTTTAACTAAATTAAAATATTAAAGGTGAATTCCAGTAAAATAAAGGTGAGCATGACACAATTGGCTGGCTGTAGTTAGTTCATCATATTTGCCTCGTATTTTTTCTTTGGTCATTTTGCCTGAACAAAAGTAAAAAAAAACATTTACTTTTGATGAGGGTGAACAACACTGAGTGTGTGTTTGGGAATAATCTATGCAGTATGTAGTATTCACATGGTTTGTTCCTGAGATCAAGGTGGCTGGTTTAATTGAGCCTGTACTGGACCCAGGGCTGAGAGTGCAGGCAGAGGAACATCGATAAACTATAAAATGGTTCCAATATGGCTAATCGATGTGGCTTTGTGAGCAGCTCCCTTGGGACTTTGATTTTCCTCTCAAACAACAATCCAGGATCTCTGGTCTTCAAAGCCAAACTCCATCTTTGCTGTTATTGTAGTTGTTGCTTTCCCCGTGTTTGAGTGATGTCACTGAGGTCGATTTCATCCCTGTCCATAAAGACTCTCCCACACTTGAATCACCCAGGAGACAGCTTCGCTTTGTCTGTGCAATGGTAACAACAACCAATAAAGGTCAGTCTCCCATGGTAATGGCCAATTGGGTTTGTTCCCGTTATTGGCCCTCTGAGCAGTGGTCAACAGATGGAGAGCTGGCATCACTGATGCAAGTTACACTCCAACCTTCTGTATCCAGGCACTGCTGTGTGATTCTACTCATCTTCTCCCTCAGCTTGTGTTGGCCTGTACATTACTCTATCATGCACAGCTTTTGTATGAGGAGGACCGTCACAGTAGAGTCACAGGAGTGCTGCCAGTGAGGGCTAACCGTCTAACCATTTCAGCTAATTGCCTCATTAATGATTCACTGGTGTTAGGCTGCTCTAGCACTTCGCTGTGGGGAGCAAATTGTTCTGATTGGTTTGCCTCTGTCAATTATTGATGAGGCAGTGAGCTGAAGTGCTAACACCTGGCTTTAGAAGTCCAAGTGGCCCTGCATTCCCATCACATCCTCTGTTATCACACACCTTGGGACTACATTCTGTTTGGAGAGGATGTAGTCTTGACGGTAGCAGTTCTCTGAGAATGGACGTAGCATGCCCTGGGGTAATAGCTGTGAGCATGTTAGCTCAAAGAACACGGCTAGCTGATGTGCAAAAGCTGGACAAAAAAAGACAGTTGTAGTGATTTGTGCCGTAACTAACCGAAGGCAAACGCACGAAGAGGCACCACTGATGAAGCTAGACTGTGTACATGTATTTATATGCAACTACAAATAACAGCAAAATCTAAAATACTTGATTATAATAATGGAAAACTACTAGAAATCATAATCATAAATCATATTCTTAAGTGTATTTTACCATCACTCATCATGTCCTTAGGAATCATGTTAGGCAAAATTAAACAAAATATAAATAGATAAAAGTAAAAACATTTTCCACAAATGGATACAATGTAAATACAATGACATAAAAAATGTATAGATTCTACCAGCATCAGTGGAGCTGTGATGGTATGCAAAGCAATGCCAATACTTTGTTTATGGTGATTTATAATGGGTGCAGGCAGTACCTTTACAGTAGGGTCATGTAATTGGATCTCCAGTAGATAGCAGCTGAATTCCACTATAGTCTCTGTGTCTAATGGCCCACCCACAAAGACCTCCCTCTGGCCACACGAATCATTCTTTCACAGTGCACAAGATGCTGGAAGGTCTCCCGAAACTTTTTAGAAACACACAACACAATAAAGAAAATGTGTAAAAAAAATGTTTATGGTTCAAAATGGTAAATCACAACCAGACTAAATAATATTTTTAATAGAATTAAATTAGACTCACCCATGTTGTTAGTGAATTGCCTCATCTCTCCTTGGCCTTAATTGAAGCTGATTATAGAGTCACCCCCCCATGCTGACGCCACTGTCACTCTGAATCTCAGCCAAGTGGGCTTTCCATGTACACTCACAGGGTGGTCATTCTGCCTTTGTTTTTACACTGGGACCAGTGACAGCAGAGCCCATCCCACACTTCAAGTGCAGTGACTGTTGCTTACTGTGTGTCACAATAAACCCTGGACAAGCACGCGCAGTTCAGACAAGGGTCCTGTATTGCTCACAATGTGGACTTCACTCACAGTCTTGAGGTGTACTTTGTGTGTGTGTGTGTGGGTGTGTGTGTAGGTGTGTGTGTGTGTTTACATATCTTTGTGGGGACCAAAAAGTTTACTATACTTGTGGGGACCAACAGCCCTTATGGGAACAAAATGCCTGTCCACACGAGTTTGAAGGCATTTTTGAGACTCAAAATGTGGTTTTAGTGTCAGAGTTATAATTAAGTTATGGGTAGGTTTAGGGTAAGGGTTACGGTTAGGCATTCATTTTTGATGGTTAGGGTAATGGTGAGCAACTAGGGAAAGCATTATGTCGCTTAGATGTCACCACAAAGATATGAAAACACAACTGTGAGTGTGTGTTTGTATGTGTGCGTGCGTGTGTTCACGGCGTACATGGAAAAGCAACACTAGTCAATTGCAGTATGACTCCCACTTTAATTCTTGTCTTCCTTTCTTGTCCAACCCCTCCTCCCCCCTTTCTCTTTCTGTCTCTCTCCATTAACAGATAACCTAATGACTGAGCAGTGATGACATCAAAGCGACTGACCAATTGCACCGAGACACCTACAAAGCACAACATTCAAAATTATTTCCCGAAGAACAACAAACAAGGCCCGCTGGAATTCTTCAAAATCTCTACAGCGATTCTTGAAAAGCCTCTTACTACCCCTGTTTCCTTTCCCAATATTTTACCTCCAGCTTTTTTCTACAAAACCACAAAAATAAAAAAGAAATAAAATAAAATAAAACAAAAATAAAAATAAAAATCACAGAGACTCATAATCAGGAGATGGTTGATTCTCTTCGATGGGAAGATCACTGATGCATGCTTCTGTAAATAGATCACAATAAAAACCCTATTCTTATTCCTAATATAGGAAACGTACCGAGTTGCTCTCACCAAATTCATAAACCTTCATTACTGTGAATAGAATACCCATGGTTCAATATTTTCCATATAAAATCAGTATTCTTACCTATTCAGAGCCAATGTAGCTATCATTTCAGATATTGCTTCTCTAGTCTTTGAAGTTAATTTAATTGTAAAAACTGTACTTACAATTGTTCTTATTCTCAGCCTAGTCTTCCTCTCCAGTATCCACACTAGTACGTGTAAATAGAGACAAATGAAGACAACCGCATGGATCAGACTTTAGTGTATATTTACCACGCTCTTAGATCACAAATCTCAGTATTTGGATATTTCAGACAACATTTTTGAAAGTTTAAAATAGCTGAAGATATTTTCTGATGGCCAGTGATTTAGTCTCAGATACCTGGATACTGTCTGAATAGATCAAATTTATCCGGCCACATTACAATGATTATACAACAGAAACTCCTTTGCTATCATCAGTGAATTCCATTGAGAAACAGGCAAATTGAACAGAAGAAGCAGGCAATTTCCCAAAGCCATGATTCTAACATAGCACCTCTAAGTATTAGGTTTAATATTTGATGTACTTTTTTTTTCTTTTTGTTTTTTTTTATATATAATTTACAGATTTCTCCCATTGTCTTCTTATTTATTATTTTCTACTACAACAACTGCCCTGCCCTCTCATGCCCACTTCGTAACTGTTGTAGCAAAGCTGCTGTTAGCCTGAGAGGGACACGTTTTTTTCTTTGCATGGTTTGAAACTGTGCTCCAGTCCTGAGCCTACACAGGGGCAAAAGAAGACCTCAGTAACTGCAATGTAGAAATGAGGATTCTGGCCTCTGCCTTCAGTTGACTATGAAGCTAACCAAAAGGACTGACTGACATCGTACCAAGCCAATGAAGAGATGACCTCAAGGATTAGGCCCTCACTGGTGAAGACAGAAATCCTTTTGCATGGACAACAGGGATAATTTCTAGCTTGTTGAAGACTCCACCGTTGTGCATCCTCTACCTCTCAGTGTTCTGCTGTGCATCAAGAAATCCATGTCTTCACACTGACCCCCCTCTACTACCCCACGTTTCTGCTGCATGTCCCTCTAGAGCCTCACGAGGAGAGTTCAGCATTAAATGCTTTGGATGGATCTATATGGCAATGGGAGAAACCAAACCAATGCCCAACAAGTACACACATATGACGCATGCATAGAGATGCTCAATCATACACAATGCCTCTCGAATATGTTGCTGTATATATGTACACTATGTCAAGTATGTATAGTCTCAGATGCTGTACTTTGCATGTTGATTTGTAGATGGAATGTGACCTTTATTCAAACAAGAGGATGAGCAGGTAGTGAGTGGGTTGACTCTCTAAACCAATGCAAGCCCTTTGACAGCTTTACATCTCCATATTTGATGGCAGGAGATTTACAGTAAGGTGACAGAAACAGTTTGATGTCTACTGTGACATGTTGTCTTCCAGCAAACAGCAGTTCTGATAAGGTTTAAACTCTCTGAAGGAACACATACTGTCCCTGCTGATGTCACACAGAATCTGGCCACAGCGAATGTGGGTAGAAGAAGAGAAGGAAAACTGGGGCGCTCCAATTAAGTGGCTGCGCACAAAGTGGCATAGGGCATCCTGCCAGCAACTGTCTATTCATCCAGTGTCAAAGGGATTTGCACGTCTCAATGAGTGTATGCACTGACAGAGAAGTCCAAGAGCAAAGCAGAGGAGGGGAAGGAAAGGAAACAAGGCTGGGCTGAAAGGAGTTTTTTTTTCTTTTTTTGTGTAATTTCACAGCTTCTGATCAAAATTTAAGGTTGTACTAAGCTGATGTTGACATACTTTACTGGTCGGTCCACTTATTTGTCAATTTTTAAAAAATTTTCAATAACCCCTTGACCCCATCTATTACTATCATACAGCTCTCTGGGCTGTCATGACCTAATGTCCTGTCTAAGGTTAACTTTGTGTTAATGAGTATGGCCCTCTGCTCCACCAGATGTTCACCCTTGTGGCCAAATACCCAATACCCTCTATGCTTCTGTAATGCCTGCCCACTACATCTGTACTCTTTCTGGATGCAGCTGCAGAAATTTCTCAACCATCTAAAATGCAGTTGAAGTAGGAAACGACATCAACTCTGCAAAACAGGTGCTTTCTTTTGGAGTAAAATTAATAAAAGACATAAATCAAAATGCTGCACCATAAAAATAGAATTTTAGCAGAATACATGTGGTTGGCGAAAGTAGGTCTTACAATTTATGTGAGCAAATCTTCTTAAATCAAATATTGTCAGAGCACACCAAAGCTATTTACAGTCAACATGTAAACTGACTTGAAATTTGGACTTCTGACTTAGTGGTGATTAGTTAAGGAAGATTTAAAACACAGAAAAGGATGAAGATGTCATTCAAATATGAGACTGTGTGTGGTCTGAGTGTCAAGGCTTTCCACTTTGTTAGAAGTGAAACAAAGATGAAGCCGTATGTGACAGGTAGATGTGCTTTCCATGTTTTTGATTGCAGTGTTTAAACACCACCCAGCAATAAAACTGGACAGGACCAGAACAATATAGACAGCTATACACCTGAACACACAAAACGTGTGTAAATGCCTACAAGCACAGAAGCACATCCTTGATCTTTTTGTGACAGACGCACACACACGCGCACAGCAAGCTAATCTAAACAGCAAGGCTGTATGTAAACAGATCGTCGACATAATGGGATTGTTCAGTGTGCAAACAATAAGCTGTTAGTGTAATCACAGGTCAAAGATATATTACCCAGAGGGCCACGCTGTATGTATATTAACATGATGGATACGCTGGAGAGGAGGGGGCAGGGATATCAGGGATATAGAGCTCTACTGATTCGGATTTACCCCCTACTGGGTCTTGCCCGCTGCCTTTCTCTCCTCTGGCTCCTTCATATGGGCCCCACTTAATCAGTCTTCTTCTCATCTTGCTCCTCCCCCCATTCACCCACCCCTTTCTTATACACCAAATTCTTCTATTTCTTCACAACGCTCCCTCTTAACTACTTCAGTCATGTCTTTAACACAGTATCTTCATTTACTTATTTCCTCTCCCTGTCGCCCCTGGGCAGATTATGATCAGCTTCGGTAAAGTGGTCAGTCCATCTCTGTGGTCAGTGGGGTATCAGGATAAAGTAGCTCCACAATCTTATTTTTGGATTAGGCCAAGAGAGGTCTGGCTTATACTGGACTACTGAGGTGCTTCACCCATGTCTAATAAAAACAGTGAAAGAGCAAGGCTAGAAAATAAAAGACAGCACCATGTTGGGGAAGAACAATGCATGTGATAAAGAGAGATTGCTACGTGTTCCCCTTAACTATGTACTGTGCTTGTGTGTCACAGTGAGTAGCAGCATACTAGAGCCATTTCGGGCAGGATAAATGCCGCAGAGCTTACTTTATAAGATCTCACCTTATTAACTTATCTCTACTTTATTTGATTATGATCTAGCCCATTCTCTAAACTGGTTAATAAGTCCATGTCCTCCTGACTAAACACTTGATTAGTGTCATCACCGGCTAGCTTGTGTGTGTGTGCTGCATATGCCTGTGGATCATTGAAGCAGATGCACACTGGGGCCAAGTGACAGAGTAAACACATAGACAGAACACTGCAGAGGAAAAACAACCTGAATAAAACGGGCCTGTTTGATTATTTCAAGTCTGTCTGCCTTCTGGATGTGTGGCTGAAGATATGGTGTAAAGCTTTTGTGTGGACAACCAATGCTCAATACAGAATAGTGAAAAGGCAATGTTACATCAACTACTTCATTACAGCTGCTGGCAGGTCAAATCCCGTTATAAAACTATCCCATGAGTGTGAGACAGTTGCTTGTCACAGGCAGCTAGTTAATCCTATGCCAGCTGCTAAGCAAAGTTCTGTTACCTTGCCTTGTGAGTGATTGGTTGTTGCTATGACAATCGTGCCAGCAAAGATACTTCCCAAGCCTCAGGCATCTTAACCATCAAGTATTGACACTACGCATACATGTGAATCCTGCCAAGGACACAATGCTGTAGCAAGTGATAGCTGCCCCCACCCCTGGCACACAAGAGAGAGAGATCACTGTTCTGAACAGGGAATAGCAAAATGTATCATAGAAAAAATGCATGACTAAAAGGCGATTTATTGGAAAATATGAGTATAAATTTGACAAGCTAAGATTTTCTAGTAAGACCCCAAAATGATTTTTAGTCAAAAAAGCTACAAAAGACTCACTTAACACTGTATAACAGAGTGGCATGGTATATGGAGCTCTTTAAGTAACCACCAATCATGAAGGATGGCAGTACAATTTCCAGTGTGAATTTTAAATTCTTATTTTGTGTTTGTGTAGCATTAAGCTACACAACTATAAACTTATCCAGATGACCTCTATCCTCTATTTCTATGTTAAGTAATACTGCAATCAAAGTTACATACAGTAACTTTGATGACAGACACATGCTTGACAGCAGCTCTTCTCACCATGCAACTCTGTACTGCAGAAATATGCAGCAGCATACATATCCATGCCCTGCTCTTCTTTCTGTCACACACAGCTCCTTTTCATACACACAAAAACACACACTTTGGCTGTCTGTGTCTATGTCTGATGGAGTGTCATGATTAGCAGTGACCTCAAGCTAGACAGGGATGGGGTAGTGGGAGTGGGGTCAAAGGTGGTAGGATTACAGTGAAGCAACCCGTGTCAAGTCCTCTACTTCAATCCTGACCTCCAGGCTGACCTGAGCCTTTTGAAAAATTATTCACATGTATGAGGTCAACATACTGTGGGTACATCAACACATTACTCACAGAATATCTAACTCATGTGTGTATTTGAACTAAGAGAGGACTCTTAAAATGCTTGAAATGTAACACATGAAGTGGTGTGGACTTTGACGTAGGGATACAGTGGATGAAGGTTGGTCTCACAACCAGACAGCAAGAAAGACAGAACAGCCCTCCTTATGCCACATAGCTAATGGCAGGGATGAATAATAGAGCCTTTAAAGCCCTTACTGCCACCTCATTCTGGCCTGCACATAAGCTTGAGCTCTAGGTGGGCAGTTAGCCATCAAGCCCCTCGCTGAGATGAGATGAGCTCCCAAGAAGATTGGGGATGGGGGTGAAGAAAATCGGATTAACCAAAATGCCTCAATTGGAAGAAATGCTCTGGGCTGACCTCATTGTAATACCATTGATAAATGCTGTAAACCAAATCTTTAGCATCTGATTAGATAATGGAGGAAATCACAACCTTTGTCTGTGGGATGCAATGGTTCAAAACACACAGAATGTGAGTTTTTAAAAACAAAAAAACGAGAGACAATAGGGACTTCTACAAATAGCCAAGTTTGCTACTATAGAAACAAATAAATGGGGAAATAATAAATTGCCAGGAGCTGTGGACAGGTGGCATTTCAGTCTGCACCGTTTAGCTGTGCAGTCTGGTTTCTGACAGCTTGATTTAGTCTCCCACACCTGAGCCAGAAAACAGAGAGAAAATTAACGGCAGGGAAAACAGCTTAACTAGATTCCAATTTGCCTGCTTTGAAACACAATTGATGAAGCTAATGCACATGGAAAACACAGAATGCAGTTTTTGGTAGAGTACCAAGCTTACTTTGATTGTGCGAAGTCTGTGCACACTAATTCAGGGTCAGACAGGAAGGTAATAGTACTAATTTAATTTACCCCTGTTTTGTTCTATCCTGCTTCGGGGGGTGGGGGGTAAGGGTTTACCTTTAGGGTGTAAAACTGAGATTATAGTGGCTCAAGAGGAGATAACATGCTGTTCTCCCTGCTGTGATTCGGGTGTAATCCTTCAGTTTTAGAGAAGTGAAAAGTTTGTAAAGTCCAGAAAGTTATGAATACATCCCTTCTGGGCCCCCTACAGAGCAGAGAGTCTGAGACAGCAGGGGATAACCATATGCTATCAAAGTGTTCTTCAAAGCT